TAGGATACTCTACAAAACTAAGTGGTTAATCTAAAGCAGCTATCATCCGCGCAACTTCCATACGATCTACTTGCGGATCGTATTTCCAAGTGGTTAGACCACCGGTTGCGCGATCAAAAGATAATTGTGTTTGGCAGAGTTCGGGTCCGCTAGATTGGCTAAGCTTTTGAAGACACTTTTCGGAGTGTCGTCTTAAGTGTGTGGTGTCGTGAATAGTATCACCTTGTAATTTAGATAAACAATATTTACACTGAGCTATATATTTAGTGTTACCTTCATTATCCACCTCGTCAATTATGTCGAAGTGATCCCAAACTGTCAAGGTATGCTTGCATTTCCTCCTAGAGGTTGCAACACTTGCTAACGCAGACACTGTCGTACTCGCCGCTTCTCCATGCCCACCACCACTATTGCGACCACGACCTCCAGTACGTCCACCAGGGCTCGGATTAGTAGATTCCTACGTAACAAACTCATTACTAGGAAATTGCCCTTTTTCTACATTGTGTTGAGCATCAACGGGAATACCACAATAACCAAAAGGATCCATTATAAAAAAAAAATAAGATGGATTTGAGAGAGAGAGAGCTTTAGGATAATGTGATAGTTTTTAAAAAAATTGTGACAAAGATTGAGAGAAATTGAGATAGATTGAGAGAAATTGAGAGAAATTGAGAGGGATTGAGAGAGTTTGAGTGAGAAAAATGTGTGGGGGATGGGGGGTATTTATAGGGAAATTTTGGGGTTAAAAAATAATTTTTTTCCAAAAAAAATCAGGATATAACGGCTATTTTTGATTTTTTGGCAGTCGGGCAACTCGGGCAGATCGGGTTTTCGGGCAAAAATTCAAAAAACTAGCCATTTCCGGTAATTTGGCAGTCGGGCACCTCAGGCAGGTCGGGCAGATCGGGCAAAATTCAGGTAAAAATTTAAAAAAACTAGCCATTTTTGGGTAATTCGGGCAGTCGGAGCACCTCGGGCACCTCGGGTTTTCAGGTAGAATTCGGGCAAAATTCAAAAAAGTAGCCGTTACATCCATTTCGGCAGTTTTTGGGCAGTCGGGTATCGGGCATTTTTCGGGCACCTCGGGCACACGGCATTTTCGGGCATTTTTCGGGCCGGGCAATTCGGGCAGTTCGGGCATGGTCGGAAAAATTCAAAAAAATTCCGGCGGACGACGGTAAACGGTGATTAGACAGCGGTGGGCAAAGGAGAAGATGCAAAATTCAGGCTGCCCGAGCCCAAACCCGAAAATCAACTCTGGGCGGGTGGACAATGGACTTGCCCGCCCGAGCCCGAAAAAATTCATGCTTCGGGCAGCCCGCCGACCCGAACTAGTCGGGATGAGTCAAAAATTTACATTTTTATTTATATTTTGCATTCTAAAATTAATATATGATTTTTATGAATTAATGCAACAAGCGACACCATTTTTTGATTAATATTCTATTTTGTTATGATTTTCTTTATTTTTCGCCTTTAAAAAATATAGTAAAAGAAAAATCACGTCAACAAATAGTGAACTTTTGCAAAAATAATCCTTACAGTTTTCTAGGCCTATAAAAAAAATGGCCTAAAAAAAGACAAAAAAAAAGTAAAACGCTGTTAAAAAGCCCCCAGCCCGCATAATGTGGCGCCCAAGGGCAGCTCAGGGGCCGAGATAGGTCAAAAATTTTCATTTTCTTTATGTTTTGCATTATAAAATTAATATATGATTTTTAGGAATTAATGCAACAAGCGGCACCATTTTTTGATGAATATTCTATTTTTTTTTTATTTTCCTTACATTTCGTCTTTAAAAAATATAATAAAATAAAAACTACGTCAATAAATAATGAAATTTTAGAGACAGGATCCTTACATTTTTCTAGGCATGCGTGAAAAAAATGGCCTTAAAAAATGATAAATAAAAAGTAAAACATTGTCAAAAAACCCCGGGCCCGTGTAGTGGGGCGCCCAGGGCCAGCTTAGGGACCGGGATGGGTCAAAAATTTCCATTTTCATTTATGTTTTACATTCTAAAATTAATATATGATTTTTTAGAATTAATGCAATAGGCGGCACCATTGTTTGATGAATATGCTATTTTTATGATTTACTTTATTTTTCATTTTTAAATAATATAATAAAATAAAAACGACGTCAAAAAATAATGAAATTTTATAGACATGATTCTTACATTTTTCTAGGAATGCCAGAAAAAAATGGTCCAAAAAAATCACAAAAAAGTAAAACGCTGTGAAAAATCTCCCGGCTCGCATAGTGGGGCGCCTAGAGGCCAGCTCAGCGGCCGAGTTAGGTCAAAAATTTAAATTTTTCTGTATGTTTTACATTGTAAAATTAATATATGATTTTTAGGAATTAATGCAATAAGCGGCACCATTTTTTGATGAATATTCTCTTTTTATGATTATCTTTATTTTTTATATTTAAAAAAATATAATAAAATAAAATTAACGTCAAAAAATAATCAAATTATGCAGACAGATCCTGACATTTTTCTTGGCAAGCTAGAAAAATGATGGCCTCAAGAAATGACAAAAAAAAACTAAAACACTGTCAAAAAGCCCCCGACCCGCATAATGGGGTGCCCAGGGGGCAGCTCAAGAGCCGGGATACGTCAAAAATTTTCATTTTCTTTATGTTTTGCTATATTAAATTAATATATAATTTTTAAGAATTAATGCAACAAGCGCACCATTTTTTGATGAATATTCTATTTTTTACGATTTTCCTTACATTTCGTTTTAAAAAAATATAATAAATAAAAATGACGTTAAAAAATAGTGAAATTTTGCACACATCATCCTTACATTTTTCTAGGCCTGTCAGAAAAAAATGGCCTAAAAAGAAGACAAATAAAGTAAAGCGCTATCAAAAAGCCCCCGGCCCGCGAAGTGGGGCACCAGGGGCAAGCTCAGGGCCCAGGATGGGTAAAAAATTTCTATTTTTATTTATGTTTGGTATTCAAAAATTAATACATGATTGTTAGGAATTAATGTAATAAGCGGCACCATTTTTTGATGAATATTCTATTTTTTACGATTTTCCTTACATTTCATTTTTAAAAAATATAATAAAATAAAAATGACGTAAAAAAATAGTGAAATTTTGCAGACACGATCCTTACATTTTACTAGGCCTGCCAGAAACAAAATGGCCTCAAAAAATGACAAAAAAAGTAAAATTCTTTAAAAAAAACCCCCGACCCACATAGTGGGGCGCGCAGGCGCCAGCTCAGGGGCCGGGATGGGTGAAAAGTTTTTATTTTCTTTATGTTTTACATTATTAAATTAATATATAATTTTTAGGAATTAATGCAACAGACAGCACCAATTTTTGATGAATATTCTGATTTTTATGATTTTCTTTATTTTTCGTTTGTAAAAAATATATAATAAAATAAAAACGACGACAAAAAATAATGAAATTTTACAGACACGATCCTTATATTTTTCTATGCGTGCTAGAAAAAAATTGGCCTCAAAAAATGAGAAAAAAAAATAAAACGATTTCAAAAAGCCCCCGGCCCGCGTAGTGAGGCGCCCAGGGGCTAGCTCAGGGGCGGACATGGGTCAAAAATTTTCTTTTTTATTTTTATTTTGTATTCTAAAATTAATACATTATTTTTAAGAATTAATACAATAAGCGACACCATTGTTTGATGAATATTCTATTTTTTATGATTTTTTTTATTTTTCAACTTTGAAAAATATAATAAAATAAAAGCGACGTCAAAAAATAATGAAATTTTGCAGACACGGTCTGTTTACTTGAGGGATGATTTTTGGTTAAATAGGGATGATCATTTGTTGTAGAGCCTTATTTTTTTGAATTTTTGTTTATATTTCTTTAAAAAAAATGAAAAAAGAGGAATAACAACATTTCATATTTCATTGTTGTAGTTTGGCTGTAATATCATTTGTGTTGCATGAAAATTTGTCAAAAAATGCCTTTCTACTTGCGTTTCATTCATTTCTTGTTGTCTCTTGCCAAAAAAATAAAAAAGAAAGAAAAAATGATAAAAAGAGAAAAAATGAAAAAAAAAGTGATAAAAAAATGAAAAAAAAAAGAGTTTGATTTATTTTGTGTTTCTTTTTGTAAATTGCCTCTTTCTTTTTTTTATGTAATTTTCTCTGAAATGAATCCCGAAAGTTGGTTGGTGGTATGAATGGTGGAATGTTCCGAGCAGTTGATTTGCCTATCTTTTGATCAATGCTTGTTTATTTGCTTGTCCTAAAAATTGCATTCTCTCACTTGAGCGTTAATTGTGATATTTCCAACTCCATGAGTGAATCCCTTTGCACTTAAAATATTTCTGACACCTATGAGGTGTATGGAGTTGAGGCTTGAACTTGGTGAGTTTTTCGATGCTATTTGTGTTATGGGATGTGGTAAGAAGGATTGGGTTTGGAGCACACACACACAACTCTGGAATTATGACTGAAGTAGTTTTGATAGCATTTTCTGATGACTTACTAAGTTTTGTTTGATTGCTTGGGTGATTTTGCTAGTTTTGATTTGAATTTTTAGCTTGACATGATTTTTCTTCCGCCTGAATTGCTAGAGACTAGCAATAAGCTGGTTGGGGGTTGTGATAAGTGCATGAAAATGCACCTAAATTGTTTATAATTGCTAAATAAATTAAGTTTTAATCAAATATTTTCGTGCAATTAATATTTTGTGGAAGTATTTGATTTTAATTTAATTTAATTTGTTTTGTAGGAAAATAAGACATTTGGGCCAAAACTAAAGAAATTGAAAATGAAGCCCATCAGCGCCTAGCCGTCTGCGCAAGCCTCACCCGCGCTGCCACGTGTCACCGTCTGGTGCGTCACAGGTCTGTGGGACCCAGCTGTCCCCACGTGTACGCGTGCTTGGCGCGCACGGATCCCTCCCTCGAGCGAGTTCCCTCCACACGTGTGTCAGGCCGTTCAGCTTTCTTCTTCCGCGTGGGTCCCGCCGTTCAGCAGCCCCCTACCACCTTCCGCCACATGTGCCATGGGACCCAGCTGTGCAGCATTTTCTTCATCTCCGCGAATCAGAGTTTGCCATGTGTTCATACGGGACCCAACTGTCGGCCACTTACTCCTCTCAGCCTCTCTTCGCGTGACACGTGTCCCACCCATTTGGGATTCTTCAGCCATATGCGTTTGTGTCCGTTGTTTTGTCGTTTTTCCTGACTGTGTGCAACAGAGATTATTCTTCAAGCCTCAAACCATTGTGATGGTTTTTCTTCCCACTATAATCAACTTTTACTCACCAAATAAAGCCTTGTAAATTTCAATTAAATGGGGAAACGTTTTTAGCCTTATTTTCTTTATTATTTATGTTGTTGTTTGCAACTTTTGGCATGGCCCAAAAACTCTATAAATAGGGCCATTGTCAAGGTTTTGAACTTAAGTTTTCACATATTTTCTCTTGTTTTCTTGTTCTTATTCTCATACTTTCTTTTTAGAATTTTATGGGAATTATGTGCAAGTTAGGCTAGAGTTCTTTGGTGAGGTTAGAGAGAAACCTATATGTGATGTGATCTTGAGTGGATTTTGATTCTCTATTTGTTCTCCAAAGTCTTTATATTTGAGTGATTAATTTTCTTCTATCTTCTTCTAATTTCTCATATTGATATATTTTGTTGTCAACTTTTATATAAATTTAGTCATGCTCTTTTTATGTAATTGTTGCTCAATATAATTATATCGATAATATTGTTTTATGAGTAGTCTTTTACTGCAATATTGCCAACGGTATATTGTCGCTTTAAGATTTCTTGTAAGAATAATTTTTCCCAGTTTTCAACGTAAGAATTTTACTGACTCGAATACATTTTAATTCACATGTTCTTCAAATAATTATTTTCCGATTGTTAGTTTGGGATGTGAAACTTTCAATTGAGTAATCTCGAAGATCAAAATCCATTATGGGGAATGAAGCATATAGAGGAATCTCGACGCCTTACCGGTTTTAATTATATAGTTTTCTCATACATTTTTCTTACGCTTAAACTTCTCAAAGAAAATTTTCATTCTCTTTTATTTTTACTTTATTATTTATCTCCTAACGCTTTTTATTTTGCTAATCGTTTCTTGTTTAATTTGTCACTTCCTCGTGGGATCGACCGTCCTAATTATGCTATAATTGACCGCTTGTTTTGTACACGTTTGGGCGTAATCTGCATTCTAAAATTAATACATGATTTTTAGGAATTAATGCAATAAGCGGCACCATTGTTTGATGAATATGCTATTTTTATGATTTACTTTATTTTTCATCTTCATTTTTATGAAATTTTACAGACACGATCCTTACATTTTTATAGGCTTGGTAGAAAAAAAAATGGCCCAAAAAAATCACAAAAAAGTAAAACGCTGTCAAAAATCCCCCGGCTCGCGTAGTGGGGCGCCAGGAGGCCAGGTCTGGGGCCGAGATGGGCCAAAAATTTAATTTTTTATTAATTTTTTACATTGTAAAATTAATATATGATTTTTAGGAATTCATGCAACAAACGGCACCATTTTTTTATGAATATTCTGTTTTTTATGATTTACTTTATTTTTCGTCTTTAAAATAATAAAATAAAATTGACCTAAAAAAATAATGAAATTACGCAGACACGATCATGACATTTTTCTAGACATGCTAGAAAAAAAATGACCTTAAAAATGAATAAAAAAAGTAAAACGCTGTCAAAAAGCCCTCGACCCAAGTAGTAAGGCACCCAGGGGCTAGCTCAGGGGCCGAGATGGGTCAAAAATTTTCATTTTCTTTTTGTTTTGCATTATAAAATTAATATATGATTTTTAGGAATTAATGCAACAAGCGGCACCATTTTTTGATGAATATTCTATTTTGTATGATTTTCTTTACATTTTGTCTTTAAAAAATACAATAAAATAAAAACGACGTCAACAAATAATGAAATTGTTGGGACATGATCCTTACATTTTTTTAGGCAAGCCTAAAAAAAATGGCCTCAAAATGACAAAAGAAGTAAAATATTGTCAAAAAGTCCCCGACCCACAGAGTGGAGCGCTCAGGGGCCAGGATGGGTCAAAAATTTATATTTTTATTAAATACACGATTTTTAGGAATTAATGCAATAAGCGGCACCATTGTTTAATGAATATTCTATTTTTTATAATTTTTTATTTTTCATCTTAAAAAAATATAATAAAATAAAAATGACGTAAAAAAATAATTAAATTTTGCGAACACGATCCTTACATTTTTCTAGGCGTGTCAGAAACAAAATGGCCTCAAAAAATGACAAAAAAGTAAAATGCTATCAAAAAGCCCCCGACCCGCGTAATGGGGCACGCATGGGCCAGCTCAGGGGCTGGGATGGGTGAAAATTTTTCATTTTCTTTATGTTTAGCATTATAAAATTAATATAAATTTTTATGAGTTAATGCAACAACCAATACTAATTTTTTTATGAAGATTCTATTTTTTATGATTTTCTTTCTTTTTCGTCTGAAAAAAATATAATAAAATAAAAACGATGACAAAAAATAATGAAATTTTGTAGACACGATCCCTACATTGTTCTAGGCATGCCAACAAAAATGGCCTCAAAAAATGAGAAAAAAAGTAAAATAATGTCAAAAACTCCCTAGCCCGCGTAGCACCCAGGGGCCAGCTCAGCGGCCAGCATGGGTCAAAAATTTCCTTTTTTATTTATATTTTGAATTCTAAAATTAATACATGATTTTTAGGAATCAATACAACAAGCAGGACCATTATTTGATTAATATTCTATTTTTTATGATTTTTTTTGTTTTTCATCTTTGAAAAATGTAATAAAATAAAAACAACGTCAAAAAATAATAAAATTTTACAGAAACGATCCTAACATTTTTCCAGGCATGCCAGAAAAAAAGGGCTCAAGAAATGACAAAAAAAGTAAAACGCTGTCAAAAAGCCCCCAACTCGAGAAATGGGGCTCCCAAGGGCCAACTCAGAGGGGATGTGTTAAAAAGTTACATTTTCATTTATGTTTTGTATTCTAAAATTAATATATGATTTTTAGGAATTAATGCAATAAGCGGCACCATTTTTTGATGAATATTCTATTTTTTATGATTCTCTTTATTTTTCATATTTAAAATAAATAACAAAATAAAAATGATGTCAAAACATAATAAAATTTTACAGACACGATCCTTACATTTTTCTAGGCACGCACAAAAATGGCCTCAAAAAATGACCAAAAAAAAAAGCAAAACGCTATCAAAAACACCCAGCCCGCGCAGTGGGGAGGCAAGGGGCTAGCTCAGGGACCGGGATGGGTCAAAAATTTACATTTTTATTTATGTTTCACATTCAAAAATTAATAGATGACTTTTAGGAATTAATGCAACAGGCGGCACCATTTTTTGATGAATATTCTATTTTTTGTGATTTTCTTTATACTTCGTCTTTAAAAATTATAATAAAATAAAAACGACGTCAAAAAATAGTAAAAATTTGCAGGAATGATCCTTACATTTTTCTTGGCACACCAGAAAAAAATGGCCTAAAAAAATGAGAGAAGAAGTAAAACGTTCTCGTAAAGCCCCCGACCCACGAAGTGGGACGCCCAGGGGCTAGCTCAGGGGGAATGGGTTAAAAAGTTACATTTTTATTTATGTTCTATATTCTAAAATTAATATATGATTTTTACTAATTAATACAACAACCGGCACTATTTTTTTATTAATATTCTATTTTTTATGATTTTCTTTACTTTTCATCGTTAAAAAATATAATATAATAAAAATGACATGAAAAATAATGAAATTTTGAAGACAGGACCCTTACATTTTTCTTGGAATGCCTGAAACAAATGGCCTAAAAAAATGATAAAAAAAATAAAACACTGGCAAAAAGCCCCGTGCCCGCGATGTGGGGCCCAGGGGCCAGCTCAGGGGCCGGGATGGGTCAATAATTTTTATTTTTATTTATGTTTTGTATTCTAAAATTAAGACATGAGTTTTCTGAATTAATGCAATAAGCGGCACCACTGTTTGATGAATATTCTATTTTTTATGATTTTCTTTATTTTTCATCTTTAAAAAATATAATGAAATAAAAACGACATCAATAAATAATGAAATTTTGCAGACACGATCCTTACATTTTTGTAGGCATGCCAGAAAAAAAATGGCCACAAAAAATGACAAAAAAGTAAAACGCTGTCAAAAATCTCCTGGCTCACGTAGTGGGGCGCTCAGAGGCCAGCTCAGGGGCCGAGATGGGTCAAAAATTTAAATTTGTATTTATATTTTGCATTGTAAAATTAATAGATGATTTTTACGAATTAATGCAGTAAGCGGTACCATTTTTTTATGAATATTCTATTTTTTATGATTTTCTTTATTTTTTGTATATCAAAAATATAATAAAATAAAAACCACGTCAAAAGGTAATGAAATTTTATAGACACGATCCTTACTATTTTCTAGACATGTCACAAAAGAATGGCCTTAAAAAATGACAAGAAAAAGTAAAACGCTGTTAAAAAGTCCCCGACCGGTATGGGTCAAAACTTTTCATTTTCTTTATGTTTTGCAATATAAAATTAATATATGATTTTTAGGAATTAATGCAATAAGCGGCATCAATTTTTGATGAATATTCTAGTTTTTATGATTTTCTGTATTTTTCGTCTTTAAGAAATCTAATAAAAAAAAACGACGTCAAAAAATAATGAAATTTTGTAGACACAATCCTTACATATTTCTAGGCATGCCAGAAAAAATACCCTCAAAAAATGACAAAAAAAAGTAAAACGCTGTAGAAAAGCCCCCGGTCCGCGTAGTGGGGAGCCCAATGGCCAGCTCGGGGGACAATATAGGCCTTAAAAAATAAAAACAAAAAATAAAATGTTGTAAAAAAGCCCCCGGCGCGCGTAGTGGAGCGCACAAGGGCCAGCTCAGGTACCGGCATGGGTTAAAAATTTACATTTTTATTTATATTTTGCATTCTAAACTTAATATATAATTTCTAGGAATTAATGTAACAAGCGGCACCATTTGTTAATGAATATTCTATTTTTTATGACTTTCTTTACTTTTCTTCTTTAAAAATATAATAAAATAAAAACGACGTCAAAAAATAATACAATTTTAGAGACAGGATCCTTACATTTTTCTAGGAATGCCTGAAA